TAGTTTCAGACTTCAACATTCAATCTCAATAATGGATAGAACAAGCAGAATATAAGTTAGAAAATACAGGACTTAACAAAATAAACCAACTAGATCTAGCAGACATATAGAAAACTGAGACATATAGAGGCTGAGATCTCGCCACTGCACTCCAGCCTGGGTGACAGAGTGAGACTGTGTCCAAAAAAAAAAGTTTCAGTAGATTTTAAAAGATAGATATCATACAGAGTATCTTATTTGACTACAACGGGATGAAGTTCGAAATCATTAACAGAAACAAAACTGGTAAATTAACAAACTTGTGGAAACTAAAAATACATGTTTTCTTTTTTTTTCTTTCTTTCTTTCTTTCTTTTTTTTTTTTTGTGAGGCAGAGTCTTCCTCTGCCACCCAGGCTGTAATACAGAGGCATGATGTTGGCTCACTGCAACCTCTGCCTCCCAGGGTCGATTTTTCCATCTCAGCCTCCCGAGTAGCTGGGATTACAGACATGTACCACCACGCCTGGCTGATTTTTGTATTTTTAACAGAGACAGGGTTTCACCATGTTGGCCAGGCTGGTCTCGAACTCCTGGCCTCATGTGATCTGCCTGCCTCAGCCTCCCAAAGTGCTAGGATTACAGGCGTGAGTCACCGCACCCGGCCAAAAATACATTTTTTTTTGAGATGGGAGTCTCGCACTGTTGCCCGGACTGGAGTGCAATGGCATGATCTCAGCTCATTGCAAGCTCTGTAATCCCAGCACTTTGGGAGGCCAAGATGGGTGTATCACAAGGTCAGGAGTTCAAGACCAGCCTGGCCAAGATGGTAAAACCCTGTCTCTACTAAAAATACAGAAAAATTAGCTAAGGGTGGTGGCAGGCGCCTATAATCTCAGCTACTTGGGAGGCTGAGGCAGAGAATTGCTTCATCCCAGGAGGCAGAGGTTGCAGTGAGCTGAAATTGCGCCACTGCATTCCAGCCTAGGTGACAGAGCGAGACTCTGTCTAAAAAAAAAAAAAATCTCCCAACAAAGAACAGCCCTGGACCTGATGGCCTCACTGGTGAATTCCACCCAACACTTAAATTAACGAACACCAGGCTGGGCGCGGTGGCTCACGCCTGTAATCCCAGCACTTTGGGAGGCCGAGGCGGGTGGATCACCTGAGGTTGAGAGTTCGAGACCACCCTGACCTTTAGTAGAGACATGGAGAAACTCTGTCTCTACTAAAAATACAAAATTAGCTGGCGTGGTGGTGCATGCCTGTAATCCCAGCTACTCAGGAGGCTGAGGCAGTAGAATTGCTTGAATCTGGGAGGCGGAGGTTGTGGTGAGACGAGATCACGCCATTGCACTCCAGCCTGGGCAACAAGAGCGAAACTTCGTCTCAAAAATAAAAAAGTAAAAAATAACAAACACCAAATCCTTCTCAAACTTTTCCAATAAGTTGAAGAGTAGCATAACTTCCTAACTCATTCTCTGAGGCCAGCATTACTGTTAGGGAACAGCATAAGACTGTTAGAAGGAAACATAGGGTAAATGTTTCACAACACCGGATTTAGCAATGATTTCTTGGATATGACATCAAAAGCATAGGCAACAAAAGAAAAAATTAGACAAATTGGACTTCATGAGAATTTAAAACTTTTGTGCATCAAAAGACACTGTCAACAGAGTAAAAAGGCAACACACAGAATGGGAGAAAATATATGCAAATCATGTATCTGATAAGGGACTAACATCCCGAATAAGCCAGGCATAGTGGCTGATACTTATAATCCCAGTACTTTGGGAGGCCCAGGCGGGAGGATCTCTTGAAGGGACTGAAGACCAGACTGGGCACTGTAGAAAGATCCCATCTCTACAGAAAATTAGCCAGGTGCAGTGGCAGGTACCTGTAGTCTCAGCTACTTGGGAGGTTGAAGAGGGAGAATCACTTGGGCCCAGGAGTTCAAGGCTGCAGTGAACTATGATGGCACACTCCAGCCTGGGCAACAGAGTGAGACCCTATCTCTAAGAAAAAAAAAATCCAGAATATACAGAGAACTCGTAAAACCCAACAACAAAAAACCAAACAACCCAATTCAAAAATGGGGTTAATATCTAAAATATATAAGGAACTCAACTCATATCAAAAAAAATAGATAACCTGATTAAACAATGGGCAAATAACTGAAAGAGACATTTATTAAAGACATACAAATGGCCAATGGGTATATGAAAAAATGTTCAGCATCCCTAATCATCAAGGAAATGTAAATTTAAAAATGAGCTATCACCTCATAACTATTAGAATAGCTATTATCAAAATGACACAAGATAACAAGTGGTGGTGAGGATGTGAAGAAAAGGGAACTCTGGTACACTGTGGATGGGAATGTAAATTAGTATAGCCATTATAGAAAACAGTATGGAGGTTCCTCAAAAGTTAAAAATAGAACTAGCATATAATCCAGCAATCCCACTAGTGTGTATATATCCAAGGGAAATAAAAATCAGTATATTGAAGAGATATCTGCATTTACATTGTCATTGCAGCATTAATTTCAATGGCCAACATATGGACTCAACCCATGTATCCATCAGTGAATGAATACATAAAGAAAATGTGGTATACGCAAAATGGAATACTATTCAGCCTTTAAAAAGAGGGAAATCCTATCATTTACAACAACATGGATAAGCCCGAAGGACACTATGTTAAATGAAATAAGCCAGGCACAGAAAGACAAATACTACATGATCTCACTCATATGAGGAATCTTAAAAAGCTGAACTCATGGAAGCAGAAGAGTAAAATGGTGGCTTTCAGGGGATTAGGGAGGTATACAGATTGGAAAGATACTGGTCAAAGGATACAAAATTTCAGTTGGGGGAATAAATTCAAGAGATCTTTGTATAATGTAATTATAGTTAACGTACCTTACACTTGAAAATTGTTAAGAGGATAGATGTTAAATGTTCTCACCACAAAAAAATTAGTATGTGAGGTAATGCATATATTTGTTCGATTTAGCTATTCTATGATTTCAAAACATCAGGTTGCATACCATAAACATAAACAATTTGTATTTGTCAATTTAGAAAATAATTTTAAAATCCCATATATCCACACAAAAACTTGTATAAGAATGTTCGTAGTAGCATTACTCATAATAGCCAAAAAGTGAAAATAACCTAAATGCCCACTAACCAATGAATGGACAAACAAAATATGATGCAGCTATACAATGGAGTATTATTCAGCAATAAAAAGGAATGATGTACTGATATACATACTACAACATGGATCGACTTTAAAAATGTTATGCTAAGTGAAAGAAGCCAATGACAAGGAATAACATATTAAAATATTCCATTTATATGAAATGTGCATGACAGGCAAATCTATAGAGACTGATTTGGTCTCAAATCAGTTGAAATTGGGGGTTTGGGGGAGAAATGGAAAGTGGGTGCTAGGTTTGGGGTTTATTTTAGGGGTGATAAAATTGTTCTAAAATTGATCATGGTGATGGTTGCACAAACTCTATAAATACACTAAAATACCACTGAAGTGTACACTTTAAATGGGTAAATTGTGTGGTATGTGAATTATATCTCAATCAAGTTATTTTTAAAAAGGAATAAAAGGTTTTCTACTATGGAATGGTCACCAGCATATATTGTTAAGAAGAAAAAAAATGCAAGGAGAAGAAAAGTGTGTTTAATATGTTCTTCTTTCCCTAAGAAGTGAGATATGAGTATATACATCTATATAATATTTCTAATGGAATAATAAAGTGTGAAATTTAAAAAATAACCTATGTGGGAAGGAAAGAATAGGGTGGAAGCACAGGCACAGATGCTAGAAACGTCTCTGAATATATACCTCAAGGACAAAATGAACTAAAAACCAATTTTCAGTAGTAATCATATTCTTGATGGGTTTTTTTTTTTTTTTTTTGAGACAGTCTCGCTCTGTCGCCCAGGCCGGAGTACAGTGGTGTGATCTTGGCTCACTGCAAGCCCTGCCTCCCGGGTTCACGCCATTCTCCTGCCTCAGCATCCTGAGTAGCTGGGACTACAGGCGCCCACCACCACGCCCGGCTAATTTTTTGTATTTTTAGTAGAGACGGGGTTTCACCATGGTCTCGATCTCCTGACCTCGTGATCCACCCGCCTCGACCTCCCAAAGTGTTGGGATTACAGGTGTGAGCCACCGCGTCTGGCTAGATATATATTCTTAAATATTTATAGATGTAATGATATGACGAACTCTAAGATACGCTTCAAAATAATACAGTTGGGGTTGGTAGTATAGAAGAAACAAGAATGGCCCTGAACCCTGTAGCTCAGGGAAACATGAGCGTTTATTGAACAATTTGCCTCTACCTTTGTAATTGATTGAAATTTTCCATTATAAAGGTTTTAAAAAATTCTAATGTCCTTAAATAATGCTTTGTTATGTAGCTTAGTATTTTCTGTGGTTATAGAATGCTCTTCACACTAAAATCCTTCCGCCTGGGTTCTTTTCAGATAAGCCATGGCCTTCATTTCAATCTTTTATAAAAATATAAAACAAGGTAAGTACCCTCAAAACTAAGTGACAATTTAGTTGTGGATAAAATAATAAATGCTTTAGCACTAAAATTTAATTTATCCTACACTTGCAAACTAACTTTAAACCTGAAAAAGCATACTTTTATTAACTCATTAAAAATTATAAATGTTTTTACTTATACCACCTAAGTTTCATTTTAAAAATAAATTCCACAGTCACAGATACAAACACAAATAGCTCTATTACCACAGTTTGTACATGCTGAGGAAACTAAGCATTATTAGAAGTATCAAATTTCAAACTTGAATAAGCATCTTTTGTGGCTTTTCCACTAATTCTTTGATATACTCTGGAGATTAGCAGTGACAGAACAACATTTATTCTCTACTTCCTTCTCACTTTAAGACTATAGATAACACAGCCAGTGGTTCACGAATATGCTTACAGATCTATATATGTGAGCCAAAAGAATGTTCTTACCTGTTGCCTATACAGTGAGAGTTTGCCTTCAATGGGCTCATTTCTCATCATTTTCTTTTCAATCAGCTGGTTAATTTCTGTGTTTATTTCATTTATCTAAAACAGCATGAGAGAAAAAAAAAAAAAAAAGTTAAATCTTTCCCTATAAGTACATAAACTAAGTGACATCTGGCCAAACTAGCCTTGAATTTATGGGTCTCAGTTTCACCTAGACTAATTTTTTTTTTTTAAGAGATGGGGTCTTGCTATGTTTGCCCAGACTGATTTTGAATTCCTGGGTTCAAGTGAGCCTCCCACCTTGGCCTCCCAAAGTGCTGTGAACCATAGCACCCAGCCTGAATTTACAGTTCTTAACATTAAGTCTCTGATGGGCAAAACAGTTCCATTAATGTTATGGGGAGCTTGTTATGATTACTTTTAGAAACAATTTACATTTCATGATATATAGTTACACAATTTGATTATTTATACAGATTTAATCACCCATGTCTAAATTATTCTAAAGTATTTTACATGAAATATTTATACATTACCACAAAGATGCTTTCTAAAAATCTGAAGCTATCCCCTCACCTAGGTTGTGACTTCAAGTCACTGCAAGTGATAAAGCAAATGTGAACAAACATGCACCAAGGATTTATTACAAGGATTCATGAACCCAGCTGAGAGTTGACAGGGATAACGCCCTTCCTGTGCTAATAATCTGTGAATCTTCGATAGCTATCATTTATCCTAATCATTAATCTATATATCTCCAAAACGTAACAAAACTGAATAAATCTGACAGAAGCATATGGTTCCTCAACAAATCAAAACAAAAACCATGGTTTTCAGTGTATCCATCCTTTGAAAGATTAGAGTTCTCTCTAACCCTAACCCTAATTCTGTGACATTAAATTTTAGCCAGATTAGGATGGGCGTGGTGGCTCATGCCTGTAATTGAAGCACTTTGGGAGGTTGAGGCGGGTGGATCATCTGAGGTCAGGTCGAGACCAGCTTGGCCAACATGGTGAAATCCCGTCTCTACTAAAAATACTAAAAATTAGCTGGGCATGGTGGCACGCACCTGTAGTCCCAGCTACTCCGGGGGCTGAGACAGGAGAATCGCTTGAACCCAGGAGGTGGAGGTTGCAGTGAGCCGATATCGCATCACTGGACTCCTGCCCAGGCGACAGAGTGAGACTCCATCTCAAAAACAAAACATAAGAAAAGAAATTTTTAGCCAGATCTGACTTGGACATTTAATTTTTCTAAGTAAATTAAAAGCATAAAACAGGCCCAGGTGCGGTGGCTCACACTTATAATCCCAGCACTTTGGGAGGCTGAGGTGGGTTAATCACAAGGTCAGGAGTTCGAGACTAGCCTGGCCAACACAGTGAAACCACCGTCTCTACTAAAAATACAAAAATTAGCTGGGCATGGTGGTGGGTGCCTGTAATTCCAGCTACCCGGGAGGCAGGAGAATTCACTTGAATCCAGGAGGTGGAGGTTGCAGTGAGCCGAGATCGCACCACTGCACTCCAGCCTGGGCAACAGAGCTAGACTCTGTCTCAAAAAAAAAAAAAAGTCAGAATTACATATTTAATTGTAGTTTTAACTGTAGTGGCTATTAACCACATATTAAGCACACTACAGAATTAGCAAGTCAAAACTTTTCAATTAGGCTGAGTGCAATGGCTCACACTTGTAATCCCTGCACTTTGGGAGGCTGAGGCAGACAGAGGCAGGCAGATCTCTTGAATCTGGGAGGTCAAGACCATGCTGGGCAACATGGCCAGACCCTGTCTGTACAAAAAATTCAAAAACTTTGCCAGAACTGGTGGCATGCACCTTATAGTCCCAGCTCCTTGGGAAGCTGAGGTGGGAGGATCACTTGAGCCTGGGAGATGGAAGCTGCAGTGAGCTGTGATCATGTCACTGAACTCTAGCCTAGGTGACAGTGTGAGACTCCATCCCCCGCAAAAAAAAAAAAAAAATTAGCCAGGCATGGTGGCATGCACCTGTAATCCCAGCTAGTTGACAGGCTGAGGCAGAAGAATTGTTTGAACCCAGAAGGTGGAGGTTGCAGTGAGCCAAGATTGTGCCACTGCACTCCAGCCTGGGCAACAGAGCAAGTTCAGTCTAAAAAGTAAAAAAAAAAAAAAAAGGCACTGAACCTGACCTAGTGTTTTAATTCTAGGGAACAAAAATGGTATAATCAGGCCAAGTACATTGGCTCACACCTGTAATCCCAGCACTTTGGGAGGCTGAGGTGGGCAGATCACCTGAGGTCAGGAGTTTGAGACCAGCCTGGCCAAATGGCAAAACTCTGTCTCTACTAAAAATAAAAAAATTGGCCAGGCGTGGTGGCACATACCTGTAGTCCCAGCTACTTGGGAGGCTAAGGCAGGAGAATGGCTTGAACCCGGGAGGCGGAGGTTGCAGGGAACCGAGATCTCGCCATTGCACTCCAGCCTAGGCAACAGAGCAATACTCCATCTCAAGAAACAAAACAAGGCCCACCTGTAATCCCAACATTTTGGGAGGCCGAGATAGGTGGATCACAAGGTCAGGAGTTCAAGACCAGCCTGACCAACATGGTGAAACCCTGTCTCTAATAAAAATACAAACATTAGCTAGGCGTGGTGGCATATGCCTGTAATCCCAGCTACTCAAGAGGCTGAGGCAGGAGAATCACTTGAACCCAGGAGGTGAAGGTTGCAGTAAGCCAAGATTGTGCTACTGTACTCTAGCCTGGGCAACAGAGCAAGTACTGTCTCAAAAAAATAGAAAAAGGTATAATTTGATACTAGCTTTCAATAAGCATTACAACATTTAGTAATTCCAAGGCAGGTATACCAGGTTAATAAAAATATTAGCTTTAAATATAAAATTGCTATAATACTTTGCTTGGAAATAAAAATTAATAATTAAAATATTTTTAAATTTCTTATCTAAATGCTTATATTATGAAGACATGAACCCACTGGTCAATTTATTCACATTAATTTACATATTTAAGTTATTTCATTTGCTAATCAATTGACTATGTTTTCATAACATCATGTGGATTAAGTAACAGCATAACATTCTAAAATTCCTCATAAAGGACAAACCCTTATGAGAGTTGTCAACTCCTAGCATAGGTTAATTTAAGAGTCAATAGTGGGATACTACAGAAAGCAGTTCACATAATTTTATAGGACTGGGGATCAGATAAAATTGAGAGCTATAAAAAGATGATTCTCACTTACTTTAGATTCAAGTTCAAGAAGATCAGAATGGCCCATTGCTGGCTCTGAAACTACTTTTTGTAAAAAATGTAATTCCTTTTTCTTATTTTCTAATTCTTTAGGAAATTTTTCAGTTACCATATATAAATTAAATTTTATCTCCTCCTCTAGCCTCTTCATTAAACCTTTAAAAACAAAATAAATAAATATTCAGCCCAAAAAGTAGGTACAGTGATATTCTGTATACTATTTTAAATATAAGACCTGGATAGGGCCTATCTGTTGAAAACAATTTGCATAATATCTAGCATAGTACAATAAAAGATTGGCCATTGAAATATTTTATTGTTGATTACAATGAAAATGAAGAAACACAATTTACATGGAAGAATATTTAAATAGTTATAGAAAAAGTGTTATTATGACCTTTTCAAATTATAACCTAATTCTTTTATAACCCACAATACGCAAAAATAACATGTGCAGAGTCAGATATATTGTTGGGTCATATTTTACCTTCTAAGTATTTAAGAGACTCATGAACCAAATGATAACAAATAAAATCTAACCCAGGTGCTCTTTTATTCAGATGATCATGTATTTTTTTTCTTTTGGAATACTTTTGATGCAGTATATATATATGTGTGTGTGTATTTATATTTATATATACACACACACACACACACATATATATATTTATTTATTTATTTATTTATTTATTTTGAGACAGGGTCTTGCTCTGTCACCCAGGCTAGAGTGCAGTGGCACTATTATCTCAGCTCACTGCAACCTAAACCTTCACGGCTCAAGTGATCCTCCCACCTTAGCCTCCTGAGTAGCTGGAAGTAGCTGGCACCACAGGTGTGAGTCACCACGCCTAGGTAATTTTTGTATTTTTTTTGTAGTGACGAGGTTTTGCCATGTTGCCCGGGCTGGTCTCTTAACTCCTGGGCTTGAGCAATTACCCGCCTCAGCCTCTCAAAGTGCTGGGATTACAGGCGTGAGCCACTGTACCTAGCACAATTTATATTTCTATTATAACAGTTCATAAATGGTAATTAATTATCATTTGTCAGCTTCAAGCCAATGAAGACATTACTAAAAGCACCACAAGTTAAAATCTAAAAAAGAGAAACAGGCCAGGTGCAGTGGCTCCCACCTATAATTCTACCACTTTGGGAGGCCAAGGTGGGTGGATCACCTAGGTCAAGAGTTTGAGAGCAGCCTGGGCAACATGGCGAAATCCTGTCTCCACTAAAAATACAAAAATTAGCCGGGCATGGTGGCGCATGCCTGTAGGCCCAGCTACTTGGGAGGCTGAGGAACAAGAATTGCTTGAACCTGGGAGGAGGAGGATGCAGTGAACCGAGACGGCATCACCGTCACCGCACTCCAGCCTGGACGACAGAGGGAGACTGTCTCAAAAAAAGAAAAGAGGGCCGGGCGCGGTGGCTCAAGCCTGTAATCCCAGCACTTTGGGAGGCCGAGACGGGCAGTTCACGAGGTCAGGAGATCGAGACCATCCTGGCTAACACGGTGAAACCCCGTCTCTACTAAAAAATACAAAAAACTAGCCAGGCGAGGTGGCGGGCGCCTGTAGTCCCAGCTACTAGGCAGGCTGAGGCAGGAGAATGGTGTGAACCCGGGAGGCGGAGCTTGCAGTGAGCTGAGATCCGGCCACTGCACTCCAGCCTGGGCGACAGGGCGAGACTCCGTCTCAAAAAAAAAAAGAAACAAGGTATCTATCTACACATAAATGTTTTAAGCTTTCCATGTTTTGGTATTTTTTTTATTTTGTGAAGTATTATTAGTTTACAGTTAAGGGGCAATTTATATTTTTAAGATTTTAGTTTTCTTATTTATGCAGATGGACAACTACATACACAGATTTTCAGTGAATAACAGTCTTGTTTTAAATTCCCAGCCTAGAGAGATTTACAAAGTTTATTTCAGATCTTTCCATTTACACATTTACAAATTCTGACTTGAATGTTTTTTGGTTTTCTTGAGACGAAATCTCGCTCTGTCACTCAGGCTGGAGTGCACTGGTGCATTCTGGGTTCACTGCATCCTCTGTCCACCTTCTGAGTTCAAGCAATTCTCCTGCCTCAGCCTCCTGAGTAGCTGGAATTAGTCACACACTACCAGCGCAGCTAATTTTTTGTATTTTTAGTAGAGATAGGGTTCCATCACGTTAAGGCCAGGCTGGTCTCCAACTCCTGACCTCGAGTGATCCGCCTGCCTGGGCCTCCCAAAGTGCTGGGATTACATGTGTGAGCCACTGCATCCGGCCTGGCTTGAATTTTTAACACATGGAGTTTCTGGTTTAAGTAATCTGTGGACATGGATTGCATAATACATCTGGCCCAAAGCCTTAAAACTATTTTTAGTTCCACTGTGCTAACCATATATTAACATGTAAAATTTTATTAACTGCAAATTATAAGTTTTCCATTCATTGCTTCACTACTCCTTTTTTCAGGATTAGAGAAAGGAAGAGAAGAGAAAGTGTTTAATAAATCACACTGTAGGCTGGGCGCGGTGCCTCATGCCTGTAATCCCAGCACTTTGGGAGGCCAAGGTAGGCGAATCACCTGAGGTTGTCAGTTTGAGACCAACCTGACCAACATGGAAAAACCCCATCTCTACTAAATATACAAAAAATTAGCTGGGTGTGGTGACTCATGCCTGTAATCCCAGCTACTCTGGATGCTGTAAACACACTTGAAGCAGGAGAATTGCTTGAACCCGGGAGGCAGAGGTTGCGGTGAGCTGAGATCACGCCATTGCACTCTAGCCTGGGCAACGAGAGTGAAACTCCATCTCAAAAAATAAAAAATAGGCCAGGCATGGTGGCTCACGCCTGTAATCCCAGCACTTTGGGAGGCCAAGGTGGGCGGATTACCTGAGGTCGGGAGTTTGAGAGCAGCCTGACTGACATGGAGAAACCCCGTCTCTACTAAAAAAAAAAAAAATACAAAATTAGTTGGGCATTGTGGCATATGCCTGTAATCCCAGTTACTCAGGAGGCTGAGGCAGAAGAATCGCTTGAACCCGGGAGGCGGAGGTTGCAGTGAGCTGAGATCATGCCATTGCACTCCAGCCTGGGCAACAGGAGCGAAACTCCGTCTCAATAAATAAATAAATAAATAAATAAATAAATAGATAAATAAATAAATAAATAAATAAAATAAATCACACTGTAATCAGTCAGTCATTCCTATGTGGCTTTTGATTAAATCTACATCCTGGCTTCTTTGTCTGTTAGATGACCAGCTTTTCCATCCTCAGGTTTTTAAACATACCCCATGTAATTAGAGATGCATGGAATCAAAAACTAAAATGTTTTTCAAGATTTAAAATACTCAAATAATATTTTCTGTATTTAAAAAAAAGTTTCTAATTCTAGAAAATATAAACTGATTTACAGTGACAGAAAGCAAATCCATGGTTGTCTGGGGAGGGACAGAGAGGCAGAAGGGGGCAAGAGTGAGACATTAAAAACAGTCAATGGAAATGTTTAGGGATGATAGATAGGTTTGTGATCTTGATCAAAAGCTGATGGTTTCACCAGTATATACATATGTCAAAAGAAATCAAGAATACACTTTAGGGCATGGGAGGAAAGGGGAAGAAGAGCATTCGAACAAATACTTAATGTGTGCAGAGTTTAAAACCTAGATGACAGGTTGATAGGTGCAGTAAACCACCATGGCAAATGTATACTTATGTAGTAAATCTGCACATTCAGCACATGTAACCCAAAACTTAAAGTAAAATTTTTAAAAATTTTTTAAAAATACACTTTAAATATATGCTATTTATTTACTGAGACAAGGTCTTACTCTGTCACCTAGGCTGGAGTGCAGTGGCATAATCATAGCTCACTTTAACCTCAAACCCTTGGGCTCAAGTGATCCTCCTGCCTCAGGCTCCTGGATAGCTAGGACTATAGGCATGCACCACCATGCCCAGCTAATTTTTTATTATTTTTATTTTATTTTTTTTGAGACTGAGTCTCGCTCTGTCGCCCAGGCTGGAGTGCAGTGGCACGATCTTGGCTCACTGCAAGTTCCGCCTCCCAGGTTCATGCCGTTCTCCTGTCTCAGTCTCCCAAGTAGCTGGGACTACAGGTGCCCGCCACCATGCCTGGCTAATTTTTTATATTTTTTTAGTAGAAACGGGGTTTCACCATGTTAGCCAGGATGGTCTCGATCTCCTGACCTTGGGATTCACCCGCCTTGGCTTCCCAAATAATTTTTTATTTTTTGTAGAGATGGGGTCTTGCTATGTTGCCCAGGCTGGTCTCAAACTCCTGGGCTCAAGTGATCCTCTTACCGTGGCCTCCCAAAGGAGTAGGATTATAGGCATTGAGTCACTGAACCACACTAAATATGTGCAGCTTTTTCTTTTCTTTTTTCTTTTTTTTTTGAGACAGAGTCTCCCTCTGTTGCCCAGGCTAGAGTGCAGTGGCACAATCTCAATTCACTGCAACTTCCACCTCCCTGGCTCAAGTGATCCTCCCACCTCAGCCTCCCAAAGTAGCTGGGACTACAAGCGTGCACCACCACACCTGGCTAATTTTTGTATTTTTTTGTTTTGCCATGTTGCCCAGGCTGGTCTTGATCTCCTGGGATCAAGTGATCTGCTCACCTTTGCCTCCTAAAATGTTGGGATTACAGGTATGAACCATTGCACCAGGCCTTGTATGGTTTGTTATATGTCGACTTTACCTCAATAAAGCTGTTTTAAACATAAAACCCAAGTTTCCACCAGATTTTAAATTACTCTCTTAAAAAATTTAACTTAGACCTTGAAAACTAGTCATATGTTTCTATGAAAAGTTTTAAAAGCATTATCTTTCAAAATCCTGGAGAAATTAAATACAAGGTCACTAAGATATCAGCAAACTTTTCTATTAAAAACCCTTTGAAAACATCTCACTGATCCTACTATAATCAAATGAGTGTCTTCTTTTATGTAATAAATCTCACAAATGTGTGGAGTATAACGATGATTAGCCTTGGCCGGGCGCAGTGGCTCATGCCTGTAATCCCAGCACTTTGGGAGGCTGAGGCGGGCGGATCACCTGAGGTCAGGAGTTAAAGACCAGCCTGACCAACATGGAGAAACCCCGTCTCTACTAAAAACACAAAAATTAGCCAGGCGTGGTGGCGCATACCTGTAATACCAACTACTCCAGAGGCTGAGGCAGAAGAATCACTTGAACCCATGAGGCGGAGGCTGCAGAGAGCTGAGATCACACCACTGCATTCCAGCCTGGGCAACAAGAGCAAAACTCCATCTCAAAAAAAAAAAAAAAAGATTAACCTCAGTGAATGTTTTATAATGTAGCTGTTACTCTGCAAAAAGACAAATTACACTGTCATACTAAAAGTACTTTTTGTTATGTAAGTAAATATTAGCTTTTGTTAGCCTTTTTTGTTACTGAAAAGTTAAAGCTTGTTAAAATAAATACCTGGATCAATTAAATATGTTTAATCTACCCTTTTCCTAGGCTGTGAATAGATCACTTAAGACTTTTCCACTTCCCAGAAAGATGTCAACAAAGTCGGAACTCCTTAACCTCCTGCTCCCTGCTCTTATAGAATTTCATAGATTACTACAGAAAGATGAATTAACCCTCTATCAGCTATTTACATTGGGATAGTTCTCCAATACAAATGAGAGCTTTCCGTCGCTCTTTCAGTTTGTGTGGTCTTTCTTCTGACAAACAAAAACGCTTTGTAAAATGCCTAGGATGGATCTGGTGGTGTAATCTGGGCTATTAGGACAGTTTATCCTCTGTGTTAAGCTAATGTAAGAACACAGCCAGAGATATCTACATCAGTAGCACTGTTATTCTACAAACCAAAATATGAAAAACACTCGGTTTTAAGGATCCAGCATTCTATTATTTTTCTTTATAGCCCTGGCTTTAACACAATGATTCATAATTTTTCCAATCATCATTTTCACAACAGCCATGCTAAGTCCTTTATTTATTTATTTATTTATTTATTTATTTATTTATTTAGAGTCAGAGTCTCGCTCTGTTGCCCAGGCTGGAGTGCAATGGCGCGATCTCGGCTCACTGTAACCTTCGCCTCTCAGGTTCAAGCAATTCTCCTGCTTCAGCCGCCCAAGTAGCTCGGATTACAGGCGCCGCCCCCACGCCCGGCTAATGTTTTTGTACTTTTAGTAGAAACAGGGTTTCACCATGTTGGCCAGGCTGGTCTCGAACTCCTGACCTCAAGTGATCTACCCGCCTCAGCCTCCTAAAGTGCTGGGATTATAAGTGTGAGCTACCATGCCCAGCCATGCTAAGTCCTTTATACAAGCATAAACTGGACGGCCTCCCTCTACAATTGTTTTCATTATCTTTACTCTCTGATGTGAAAAACTGGTTAGGAATTTTTTGTTACTGTTGTTAAGATGGAGTCTCCTTCTATCGCCTAGGCTGGGCTGCAGTGGTGTGATCTTGGCTCACTGCAACCTCCGCCTCCCAGATTCAAGGGATTCTCCTGCCTCAGCCTCCCGAGTATCTGGGATTACAGACACCTGCCACCACGCTCAGCTAATTTTTGTGTTTTTAGTAGAGACGGGGTTTCGCCATGTTGGCCAGGCTGGCGAACTCCTGACCTCTCGCCACCTTGGCCTCCCAAAGTGCTGGGATTATAGGCATGAGTCACTGCACCTGGCCATCTGGTTGGGAATTTTTAAAAACATCTGGTGAAAACCCAGGGATGTCTTCATCAGGGCTCTCCTTCTCCAGCTAGGAAATGATGTTCCAAAATGCTAAGACATCACTTGATGATAATTAATTCCCACAAATTGATTTTTTTAGGAAGATCTTGATTTAAATTAGTATTTTCTAATCACCTATACCATATAATAATTTCCACTTACTTTCAGGTTTTGCATCTGCTGCAGCTTGGCGCATGCTTTTCAGCTGGTTTTGTACTCTTTGCAATCTTTGCACTGCATGAAATAGCTTTAAAATACAATTAAATTGATTACTTGCTTAGTCTACTGAAGCTTACCTCTCACTTAAGCAAGCAATGGAAAATACAAGTTCCATATAATTCTTATGATATAAAGGGAACAAATAATAAAAACTCAGAAAATTCCCATATTAAACCCAAAATGTAACTGGTTCTCTCAATACCTTTTCATGTACATTTTTAAAGGAAGTTTTCAGAAATTTTTCTTTAGTTATTTATTGAATTTGCAGTTTAAGGAAAAATACTTATCAAAGAAACACACACACCAGATTTTTCTTGTTATACATGGTTTTCTTTTTTTTTTTTTTTTTTGGGGAAGTGTCGCTCTGCCGCCCAGGTTGGAGTGCAGTGGCCGGATCTCAGCTCACTGCAAGCTCCGCCTCCCGCGGGTTCACGCCATTCTCCGGCCTCAGCCTCCCGAGTAGCTGGGGACTACAGGCGCCCGCCACCCTCGCCCGGCCTAGTTTTTTGTATTTTTAGTAGAGACGGGGTTTCACGGTGTCTGCTGGTGGTCTCGATCTCCTGACCTCGTGATCCGCCCGTCTCGGCCTCCCAAAGTGCTGGGATTACAGGCTTGAGCCACCGCGCCCGGCCATACATGGTTTTCTTAAGGCTAAGTAATGTTAACATTGTCATAGCGATGTTTCAGAATCACAAACCGACGCCAAGTAATGCAGCTTACTGCTTAGGCAATGCAGCTTACTGCTGCAGTGAAACTACTTCAATGCCAAGTCAAGTGCCAGCAGAGCCAAACATTTAAACTGCTGATTTAGTAGTAAATGAAGCTTATGTGAAATATATTTTAATGTATAACTCTACTCAGATTTTAGAATAGATTTTTAATATGTAGAAGTAATAATTTCTGAGCAAATTATTTTTTCTTTAAGCCAAAGTTTAAAAACATGGAGTGTAGGTGATTTTGAGCCTTTTCATGACTTATTTGCCATTGTATTAAATTGCAGAGGGTACTGTGATCAGTGGAATAAAAAGAATGGTCTCATAGCCCTGGAATCTAAAGGCATCCGTTAGAGATTCTAGAAGTTTTATTAGCAGTTAATCTTACTGTTAACATTACAATGACTCTTCTGTAATGTTGGAACAACATGAGGTAAGCATAGGCCAAAAGACAGTATATAGATACAATTCAGAATATAAAACCCAAAAAGTGGTATTGTTGTTGCCACAAAATATTTATCTTTTTTTTTCTTTTCTCAAAGTCTCACTCTGCTGCCTAAGCTGGAGTGTAGTGGTGCGGTCTCGGCTCACTGCAACCTCCACCTCCTGGGTTCAAGCTATTCTCCTGCCTCAGCCTCCTGAGTAGCTGGGACTATAGGCATGCGCCACCATGCCTGGCTAATTTTTGTATTTTTAGTACAGACAGGGTTTCACTGTGTTGGCCAGGTTGGTCTTGAACTCCTGACCTTGTAATCCGCCCGCCTCAGCCTCCCAAAGTGCTGGGATTACAGGCGTTAGCCACTGTACCCGGCCCGAAATATTTATCTTAATTAAAAGAGTATTCCACTATGTTAGCAAAAGGAATGTGAAAGTCTACAATTTTAAAACAATTTTCTTTACCTTTGGATTATGAGAAGGAACTATTTCTTTCATACAAAAATATAACTTTTATGTGGATACCTGATTCTTTTGTTCCTGTTTCTGTTGTGCAAGATATTCTTCTCTCTCTTTTTCAACTCGAAGTTGCCTTGCTATTTTAAGCATCCATTGATAATTCTGAGCTGTCTCCACCTACAGTAAGGGAATAAGTAGTACACGTTACTGTCAGGTTTGAGGAAACAAATTAGCATGTCATGTGACTCAGACATCCACTTATCATTTCCTTTTGGTAAACAGTACTCCCTAGAGATGACAGTAAAGCTCTAGACTCCAGGTCCTTGAAAGTGCTGGGCTACTGCCTAGAGAGATTCCCTTTTCGTCAATGTTATTTGAGTCCATCCTCAGATGTACACTCATGCTTGGCTGAATCTTTATTTGCATTCCTAAATCTTTGCAAGTCCTTGGGGCTTGGGGCCAAAGTCTTACAGTGCTAATTCTGCCTTACCCTCTTCTTCAGATGTTCAACTCTCTTAATGAGTTGATCCTTTTCTTCTTCCATTGCACTGATATCCTAAAAAGTGGCAAAGAAGACATTATAAGAAAAAGTATTCTCAGTCTGTAGGATACAGATAAGGTTTTATTTTGATTATGCATCTAACATTTTCATCATTTATAACCAGAGCATTAACAACCAAGATCCTCTTTTGGATGAAGGTCATTTCTATTTTTCTCCCAGGGCTTTTTATGCAGGGTAATTTTTTTGGCAGCTTGGTGTTCATCCAGAAATGCAACAAAAACCGGTTATAATGCAGCAAGGTAAAGCTGCCAACCGGCACATTTGTGTTCTGATTCCAAATATGGGCACATGATTTTTGAAAAATCTTCTATAATGGAAAGTGTGCACGTCTAAATACGTGAACAACAGCTGCTGACATCCCATCTGTTCTGTTAAACACCAAACCATATATTCTGCCAATTTTCCATCAAAATCATTTTTAAGGCTATGGTATTTTCATGACATAAATTTATTTGTGCCTGGTTTTTCCAGTTAACCAATTCCCTCTCTGAAAATAAAGACTTCAAAAATAAACTTCCTTCCTATTAACCAGCTTCATAGTATTTTGTTATAAAAGCAAACAAATTAAAAAACCTCCTCCTAAATCTAAAAAAGTAATAGCTTAACTATCACAGTAACAGTAAAGTTACTGTACATTTACCATGTAAATATACATGGTAGTCAATATTGATAGAATTTGGAATAATGGGCACTCTTACTCATTACTGATAGCATTGTACTGAAGAACAATATCAAAAGTCTTAAAATACAGCCTGACCAACATGTTGAAACTTTGTCTCTACTAAAAATACAAAATTAGCCGGGCATGGTGGCAAGTGCCTGTAATCCCAGCTACTTAGAAGGCTGAGGCAGGAGAATCGCTCAACCCCAGGAGGTATAGGTTGCAGTGAGCCAAGATTGTGCCATTGCACTCCAGCCTGGGTGACAGAGTGAGACTCTGTCTCAAAAAAAAAAAAAAAAGTGTTAAAATAAATGTGCATCCCTTCTAGCCCAGTAATTTTATATCTGATGATTTGTCCGGATAAAACATTCATGAAAAGACATCCTCTATAAAGATTCTCATTAATGCAAGTTACACCTAAAATTTCGAAATGACCAAAATGTATGAGGATTGTTAAATAAATTACTGCATAATACAATGAAAGTCATTAAAAATTATGCAGAAGAATGTTTAATGACATGAGAAAAAGTCATGATATGACATTACTTGAAAGAGGCAGATTACAACATTTATCTACAGAATACCAAGAAAAAGATTTAAATATATTTATCAAAATGTCAAACCACAGTTGTCTCTAGAGAATGAGATTATGAGTGAATTATTTTTTATTTATTTATTTTTGAGACAAAGACTCACTCTGTCACCCACCTAGAGTGCAGTGGTATGATCACAGCTCACTGCAGCCTTGAACTCCTAGGCTCAAGTGATCCTCCTGCCTCAGCTTCCTGAGTAGCTAGGACTACAGGCGAGCACCACCATGCCTGGCTAATTTTTTTTTTTTCTTGAGACAGAATCTTGCCATCTTGCCCAAGCTGGTCTCAAACTCTTGGGCTCAAATGATCCTCCAGCCTCAGCCACCCAAAGTGTTTGGATTACAGGCATGAGCTACCACACCTGGCCTACTAAAGTATTCCTGAACATATGCTTCGTAGAAAATTTAGAAAATATGATTAAACAAGAAATAGAAGCTAGGTGCAGTAGTGGCTCATGCCTATAATCCCGGTACTTTGAGAGGCCAAGGTAGGAGGATAGCTTGAGCCCAAGAGGTCAAGACCAACCTGGGCAACATGGCAAAATCCCGTCACTACAAAAAAAATACAAAAATTAGCTGGGCATGGTGGTGCCTGCCTGTAATCCCAGCTACTCAGGAGGCTCAGGCAGGTGGATCATTTGAACTTGGGATGTAGAGACTGCAGTGAGCTGTGATCACACCACTGTACTCCAGGCTGGTTAACAGAGTGAAACCCTGTCTCAAAAAAAAAAAAAAAAAAAAAAGAGAGAAAACTTTAGTAATAATGAATGAAATTAAAATACAGACTCTAGGTTCTTGTCATTATTCTGGTTTACTTACAGGACATAATGGAGGAACAGTAGATGGACATATATCACTTTTCTTCCGTACTATAAGGAACTACTCATTGTGAATTTACCCCAGTCTCATCAATTTCATCAGTAAGGAACTACCAAAGGTCGCACAAAGTAAAATGTACCATTTGCTATCACAGTCTCCATATAGTCTTAAGACTCATACTGAATTAATTAAAAACAAAAATGCTAAATCCAATATTATTCAAATCCCAAAAAAATTGTTACTATGTTTTCTTTCCTTTACCTTTCTTATTTCTGCTGTAGAAAATCCAGATGCTTTGAGCTGCTCATATTCTTTATGCAAAGTTTTAAAGGCTTCCATTAACTCTTCATACTAAAAGAATAAGTGAATAAATTGTAAACTAATAACTAGATCCAGTTGAGTTTTCTTTTTTTTTTTTTTTTTGAGACAGACTCTTGCTATGTTACCCAGCCTGGAGTGCAGTGGCACAATCTCGGCTCACTGCAACCTCCGCCTCCTGGGTTCAAGCGATTCTCCTGCCTCAGCCTCCTGAGTGGCTGGGATTACATGCATGTGCCACCGCGCCTGGCTAATTTTTGTATTTTTAGTAGACATGGGGTTTCACCATGTTGGTCAGGCTGGTCTTGAACTCCTCACTCGTGATCCACTTGCTTTGGCCTCCCAAAGTGCTGGGATTACAGGCGTGAGCCACAGAGCTTTCTTAATCAGGTTATCTATTAACTTACAGCGATAACAAGTCATTGTAAGAACACCATTAAAAACACAAAAACACATCCTTATACATTTATATAGGATACAAAAAAGTACATCTCTACCATCTTAACACTAAATATTTCTCTATCTTCATTTCTGGTTACTTTCCTACTTCACACTCTACACTCTAGCTATGTTGATGTCTGAGTCCCAGAACATTCCAAGCTCTCATGTCCAGCTTATACATCTATGACTCCTTCACCCATAACTTAAGCAACTCCTATTCATCCTTCAAGTCTTCACATAGATTCCACTATTCTCAGGGAAGCCTTCTCTGGCTCTTTACCTATCCTATCAGAGTAGATATCATGTACAATTATAACTGACTATTATGATTCCCTGTCTGTCTCCCTCCATCATATAGTGAGAGCCAAGAGGAAAAGAATCATATTCATTGTGTACACCCTTGTATCCCTGGGGCCTAGCACAGTGCATAACCCATGGAGGTGTTTAATATAAAGTAGTTGAATGGGCTAGGTGCGGTGGCTCACACCTGTAATCCTAGCACTTTGGGATACTGAGGCAGACGGATCACTTGAGGTCAGGAGTTCAAGACCAGCCTGGCCAACCTGGTGAAACCCCATCTCTACTAAAAATACAAAAATTAGCTGGGCACAGTGGCACACACCTGTAATCCCAGCTACTCAGGAGGCTGAGGCAGGAGATTGCTTGAACCTGGGAAGCGGAGATTACAGTAAGCCGAGATCGTGCCACTGTACTCTAGCCTGGGTGACAGAGCGAGACTCTGTCTCAAATAAAGAAAAGTAATTGAATGAATGAAAAAAATCCTGTTACCTAAACATTTTTTAAAATAGTCTTTTTGTTGTTGTTGTTTTAGAGACAGGGTCTTACTCTGTCACCCTGGCTGGAGTGCAGTGGTGCGATCACAGCTCATTGCAGCCTCGACCTCCCTGGGCTTAGGTGATCCTACCACCTCAGTTTCCCAAGTAGTTGGGACTACAAGCTTATGTCACCATGCCGGGCTAATTTTTTAAATTTTTTGTAGAGATGCGTTTCACCATGTTGCCCAGGCTGGTCTCCAACTCTTGAGCTCAAGCAATCTGCCTGCCTTGGCCTCCCAAAGTGCTAGGATTAAAGGCATGAGACACTATGCCTGGCCAAAAAGTTATTTTGATGGGGAATGACAGGAATAATATTTTTCTTGATTGATCATATCTTACAAATCTATAAATTATTAATTATAAGACTCTTCATTCCAAAAGATAATATGTATTTTCATTAGGATTCCTGAAATGACTGGCTAAATGTGTAAATCATTATATACTGTAAATCATTGTGTGTATATCTCTTTCTCATATATATAATGTATATATATAGAGAGAGAGAGAGACAGAGAGATACCTGTCAGATATGCTTCAAGAACAAGTATGTCTTTATTACCATTAATTATTTCATTAACTAGCTGAGCATATTTAGCAAAGACTTAATCAGGTCGGGCACTATGGCTCACGACTATAATCCCAACACTTTGGGAGCCAAGTTGGGCGGATCACGAGGTCAGGAGTTCAAGACCAGCCTGGCCAACATAGTGAAACCCCATCTCTACTAAAAATACAAAGATTAGCTGGGTGTGGTGGTGGGCACCTGTAATCCCAGCTACTCGGGAGGCTGAGGCAGGAGAATCGCTTGAACCCAGGAGGCAGAGGTTGCAGTGAGCTGAGATCGCACCACTGCACTCCATCCAGCCTGGGCAACAGAGCAAGACTCTGTCTCGGAAAAAAAAAAAAAAAAAAAAGACTTAATCAACTTCCTCTAGATAAATTAATTTTTATCAGATTTATTGATGGTGGGAGCCTAAGAAGGAGAAAGTACACATTTACACTTCTCTATTTCCCACATTGTGTAAAATATTCAAAGGTAAGGACAGGTGGTCTCATTCTGCTGTGCTTCTCCCATGGCATCTACTGTGACATCTGACATAATTATTTGCATAAATACTGTCTTAAGAGATCAATATTGACTCTATTTTGAGTTACTGCCATGTCCACCCAAAATAGCAAAATACATGGATAAAAATAAAAATATTCAGTTGGTTACTGTGATTTAATCTAAATATTGAGCTCACATTAGAAGTGACTATACAAAGTCTGTAAGAAAATAAAGATGGGTAAGACATTACACCTGTCCCTATGAGCCTCAGAATATATTGGGAAAAATAGATTGACAAACTGTTCACAACAATTTGGCACAAATCAGTCTATGTAAGTGCTGTGGAATAAAAGTGTGAAACACTGAACAGAAGCACTTAAAAAAAAAAATCAAAGTCCTTTTAAATCTAAGCCTAATTACTTTCTCTCTACTTTCTTTGGCCAGCAATGTACTCAGGGATCTCAGGATCAGAAGCCAGACCAGCCAGAATCCTCAGTACTCAAGAGCTTTAAGACCTTATGCCAGAACCTAATGTTACTCCAAAACTCTGGCGAGAAAGATGCACTGAGATTTCAAACTCCGGAATCTATCTCTACGCTTTGTCTGATTAGGAAGTCCTTTGAGACTGCCAGCCTAGGTTCTTTGCCTGCTTCTTTCCAGGAGCTCACATGTCCCAATTTGCCTGGGATAGTGTTAATTTAAACCATTTTTCTTGGTGTTTAAATGTTATGATAGTCTGTTTCTCTCTAATTTGGATAAAAAACTATGTAGTCACCTTACTGATGAACAAAGAGCTGTGCAGACTTAACCCAGGATCCTATTTACCCACAACTGCTAAGTAATAAATTATTCTAAAATCTTAGTATCAGGTTTGTTTTTTTTCTATTCACGTACTCCTATCACTAAAACAGTATTTGTGCGCAAAAGCCATTATCTTGAGATGTGGCCATAGTTGAACATTAGCTGATACAGTTTTATCTTCTTGTGCCACTTGGAACTATAAAGACAGCAAATGAAAAAAAGAGTAACATGTATTTGAATATGTACACCTTGAAATCCATTACAGTTTCAATGTACCATTTATGTATTGTTTACCTGTTTATTAGTGTCAGCCACAGTTTCATCCTGAAGAAACTCACTTGGTACCTCAAGTTTTATTAAAAAACGAGCTAAATATGCTCTTTTCTTCAGTTCGTTAGTCCTCTGAAGAAGCCAGTGGAGCACTGGGTAAATTACAGGTTTACTTCCAATCACCAAACCCTGACGAAAAGTACTCCTAAGAGAGAAACACACACAAACACACACACACTTAACAGTAAACTTTGAAGAGAGACAGCATTTTCTCAAAAGCTGATTTACAATGTCCAAATTGCTTTCTGCAACTTTTTAAAAAAGATAAACCCAAGGAATTTTATTTTTTTTTGAGACAGAGTCTCACTTTATTGCCCAGGCTGGAGCATAACACAGCTCACCGAAGCCTTAACCTCCTGGCTCAGGTGATCCTCCCACCTTAGCCTCCCAAGTAGCTGGGACTAGAGGCACCAACCACCATGCCCAGCTGATTTTCTGCTGTTGTATTTTTTTGTAAAGACAGCATTTTGCCATGTTGCCCAGGCTGGTCTCGAACTCCTGAGCTCAAGCGATCCTCCCACCTTGGCCTCTCAAAGGCTAGGATTACAGGCGTGAGCTACCATGCATGGCCCCAAGGCTATTCTAAAGTCAGTCTGTACATTAGTTAGAAAATTAGAAAAATCAGGCCCTCAATATATCATTGGCGTATCCAAGTAAGTTGTGTTTAAGCTGTTTTTATCGAGGATGGCAGATAAAGGACAAAATGGTATAGTGGATTTACCAGACAGCTTGATTAAGGGAAAGAACTGATCCACTTAAGACTTCTGAGTTTGGTTATAGAAGGTTTAAGATTATTTTGAAACTCAGTGATGTTCTCAGGCCATCAAATGAGGGAAACCAGGTATTACCTAAAAAGATTGAGTGCAGTATATGAAGGTTTGGATATTAAAGCATAATTTTAAAAACTCAATACGTGATCAGATTCTTACATGTCTGTGGCATTTCCTGAAGGTTTGTATTTAAGAATACCAAGAACGCTCAACATTCGTTTGGCTGTCTGCTCTGGCATCTCCTCTCTTAAATCCACAAGTTGCTAACAAAGAAATTGAAAAAAAAATATGTTATTGCTGTATACGTAACAAAGGACAATATTTAAACTCACTGACAAAATTGTTCTGCTAGAGCTTAACAGCACAATGGTCTCTTCATAAAACAGATTAAGGATGGAGGTCCCCAGATTCCAAGTGAGGGTACACCCAAGTCAGATCAAGATTCATATTAAGAATGTTAAGCTTCAAAAAAAGTATCCAGTGGAATGGACCAGTGTATGAGAGACATGAACTAACTTGCAATACAATAAAACCTTTTGTAAAAGCATTTTCATTCCCTAACCAAACCTATTTATGTCTGGAAGTAGAGAAATTATTTCTAAATAAGGTACTAATAGATAATTTATTTTTGAGCTAGCAGAGAAATGTTATGCATCATTTACTATTACTTTACAGACATGGAAAATAAGGCTCAGAGAGGTTAAATAATTTGCCCAAGACTCACAACTATTTAGAGGCAGAAACTGGCTTTCTGCTACCCATCAAAAAGAAAGAGAAAACTCTTACCTTTGGGTCAATCTCAGCCAGAACATCACTGAGAACTTGTAATAGTTGCATTGGCTCCAAGGAATCAAACGTGATTAAATTATAGTTCTTCCTAAAGGGCTCCTTATTGAGACTGTCCACAATGAATTTAATTTGATCACTCATAATTAGGTCTTATAATTTTAACTAAAAAGTAAAAATAGAAAAAAAAATCCTCAATACTGGTAACAAAAGTCCTGGGTAAAAACCAGAATTAAGTTCACACAACGTAGGCATAAAAAGTATAAGTCTGCATGACATACAAAATGCTGTGAAAAGGGTTATTTTGTTGAAAGAAATCCAAGTATAATGGCTTTATTATGAAAACTGCAGTATATACTGTTAATTTTAACATCAAATGCTTTGTACATGCATCTGGTGTAACAGTAATCATCTGAGTTAATGTGGACAAATGAATAATAAATCCCACCTACATTAACATCTTTCCCATGCAGGTGCATAATTTCTACCCAGGAATTAAATATGCTCCTAATTTTTAGGAGCCTGTCTGCAAGCCTAACAGATGTTTCTCCCAAATCTCCCAAAAAATATTGAGAGATTTTTACTTTAAAATCTATATTTCCAGTTTCTCTTGAAAATCAGATCTGGCAACCGTGGGCCCACATTTGTGTATGCCCACAACCAACTGCAGCTGAATAGAAGCTGCACACTTCAAGTACCCTTCATCCATTTCTGTTATTGGTGTGGCCAGTAGGCATCCACTCTGCCACCCTAGAGTAACTCAGGCCTTCATTTCCTTTGGCCTTCAATGAGGCAACAGCCTCTTGTTCTCTGGTCTCCACCTCTTCCCACTCCAAATCATCTGTAGGCTCCTTATCGCACACAAAATACAGCTCAAACTTCTTGGATTTTGAGACTCTTTATGATCTGGCATAACTTATCCCTTTCCAACTTTATTTCCAAATTGTTACCTTTCTACCCCTTCAAAGTTCAGCCTATTGAAACAGTCACTGCTCCTTAGTTTTTCTATCACTCTGCCTTTAGTTAATGTTGCTTTCTCTGCCTAAAATGACTGCTCACCCCTCCTTCATCTCGAGAGGTGCAAACCCCCCAACCATCTTTCAAGCCATGCCCACCAAATGCCAGTTCCCCCAGGAAATCTTTCTCAAGCTATCCTCCAGGTTCTGCAGCAGTGCCAACACCTGTCCTCCATAGCTGACCACACTTAAACTGTGCTTCTCTCCTAGCATGACTTTTGATCTTGTGCTAGTTCTTTAGGTACACATCTTCTCTTCCCTGCTAAACTGTAAATTCCGTATCTGTGTCCAATTCCATTTTTGAACATCCACTGCCTAAAACGGTGATTCCTTCCACTAGCTTGAATAAACTTTTTCACAGGCAAAAGGCCAGAAACAACATAAGCCTAAATCTAAAGGAAATCAGGCTGGCAGTGAGAAAGATCGTAACTTTTTAAAAAATTGAATATCTGATTTCTTAACTGCTGAAACAGCTTTACCTAGGTAAATGCTTTAACTTTAACGATTAAGAATAAATTTAAAAATAAATTGCTGCTGGGAGCTGTCACTCATTCCTGTAATCCCAGCACTTTGGGAGGCCGAGGCAGGCGGATCACTTGAGGTCAGGAGTTCGAGGCCAGCCTGGCCAACATGGTGAAACCCAGTCTCTACTAAAAATACAAAAATTAGCCAGGTGTGGTGGCGGGCGCCGGTAGTCCCAGCTACAAGGAGGCTGAGGCAAAAGAGTCGCTTGAACCCGGGACGCGGAGGTTGCAGTGAGCCGAGATCGGGCCACTGCATTCCAGCCCAGGGGACAGAGCAAGACTCCGATACAACAAAAAAAAAAAAAAAAGGAAAAAAGGATATGATCATTTCTCCACCATGATGAAAAATTATGCACAAATAATTATTATTGCTAAGAAATAAGTCAAAAGAGGATAGGAAGGATAACCACCATGGCTTATAATAAATCTGAGGTTTCCTTTAAGCTATAAAAGGAAAACCTTTAAATAAGTTTCTTTTTTTAAAATCCATATTGGAAGTGCAAGTTTTCCATTGTTTAAAGTATTTTAAGTAAAAGTCCACATCATAATCTTTGCGTGCAGAAACATATATTTCATTTTAAATGATTTAGAAAGTATCTATAGGTCTATTCTTTTTTCCCTCAAAAAAAAAAAAAGAAAAAAGAAAAAAGAAAAAACTGGATAAACCAGTACAACGTTTCCAGGAAGGCAAAATAAACTAGTTGGGTTCCCCCCAAGTCGCCCACCAGCCTGCAAATGGTCACTCAGTAAGGACAAAGGTGTACTGAACAGGCAGGCTACCTGTGCCCAGAGGGCTCTGCGCTCTAAAATTAGCAAAAGCAATTACTGTCCCTCTTCTAGCGCGAAGTCGCCGCGCTAATTCCCAAGCACTCACCCACAAACGAGTCGCAGGGGGCGGGGAACAATGAAAACCAGGACGTGCGTGTTCTCTGGCACAATTTGGGACAGAAACCGTGCTGCCCGGGTCCCAGGCTGGCACGAGCGCCGACCCGCAGCCTCCTGGGAGTCCCAGAAATAGTGTCCCCCTCCCCGAGCTCGGGACAGGGGACAGGGGACCCCACTCCCAACCGGGCCTCTAGCTGGGGCTGCCCTGGGCCGCTCGACAGTACACCCCGCCCGGGAGCGGCCTGGATCCGCGCGAATCCCAGCAGGGCCCCGATCCCCTATCCGAGGGCTTAACCGCGACGACCCCTTCCACTTGCGAGGTGCTGCATCGGGATCGAGAGGACGGGATTACTCTCCTATTTCGGGGTTCAGGGGAGTTTCCGACCGAGAGTTGGCGAGGTTACCTCAAATCCTCCTCACGAAACCGTTTCCCCACCCCCCAGGAGGCGCCCGGGCTCTAGACGGCTCCTAGAGTCGAGCTCCTTGGCAACGGTTGCTAGGCCGTGGAGTTACGTCACTTCCGGGGAACCGGGCGCGCGCGCGCGCCAGCTGGGGGCGGGGCCTGGGTCGGTTAGGGTCTGACGGGCTCTGGGCTTACTTGCAAAGTTGGCCCTTTGGGACTGTTATTCCGACCTAGACGCGCTACAATAACCTTCCCGAAAGTCCTGTACTTCGCAGTTTACAAAATACTGTCTGCATGATTAACCTATGTTAAATGAGTGTGCTGTTTCATTCATTCATTCATTTATTCATTCATGCATGCATTCATGCGCCAAACGTAGGTGATGATTTTTGTTTGTTTTTGAGGCAGGGCTGGGTGGTAGAGGGGTTGGGATGAGCAAGCATTTGGCCTGTGCTTCAAATTTAGGTTTTTGACATAAGAATCTCCAAATTAGGTTATGCATAGGAACAACTGTAGTGAGGCTCTGGCAGGATTAAAAGAAGACACATTCATCATAGAGATTTCAGCTTCTGTGTCACATTACTGGGCCACATTATCTGAACTGGGAATTATTTTTTTTTAACCCAGTACGTTTTGAATATGCTGAGAGCCTGAAAGGGGGTGCAGGAGAACTAAGTATCCTAAGGTTCCTTTGGCTTCTGAGTGGGCTCTCTTTAGGTGCCTGCAGAAATAAATTCAATCCTTGTGGTCTTCATGGAGTTCACATCCCGTGCAGGAGGCAGGGAGATCTCTGTGCCCAGTCACTGATGAGGTTTAAAAGTCTACTGGAATTTGCACTAGCGGGTTTGTGGGAGACTCTAGTTGGCAAATAGTATTTTGAACCAATCTCTATTAGACTAGAGACCATGATACTTTGTGATATCAGCTGGCAACGAAAGAAAGAGAAGGAAAAAAAAATCAAATTATTGATACCTTGAAAACTTAGTTGCCTGCTCAAACAGCATAGGAGAAACCAACTATAGCTTTAGCATCAGACCTACCGCAACGAAAAATAACAGATTACGTATTAGGCATTTCCTATATGCCCTGTACTGTACGTGCTGCTGGGAATGCAGAAAAGCAGGACGTACCTGGCCCCTGCCCTCATGGAGCTGACAGTCTAGTGCTGGCAGAGATTATTAAAGGGGCAACACCAATACAACTGAGATAAATTCTGTAACAAGACAAGCCAATGATTAGGAGCCCAGATTAAGGGCCTCAAGTTTATTTGAGGAGGGAGGTGCCAAAGGGGCCATACCATCAGGAAAGCTTCTGTCAAATGGAGTGATGTTTAAGGATCAGTAAAAATTAGGCCTGGCACTGTGGCTCACATCTGTAATCCCAGCACTTTGAGAGGCCAAGGCAACAAGATAACTTTGAGCCCAGGAGTTCAGGACCCGCCTGGGTAACAGAGCAAGACCCTTTCTCTACAAAAAATTAAAAGTAAAAATTGGCCTGGAGTGGTACCACTGCACTCCAGGCTGGGCAACAGAGTGAGACCCCCATCTCTTAAAAAAGATCAGTAAAAAATAGCCAAACAGGAAAAGGGAGAGTGCTTTGGGCAGGGGCAACACAACACTCCAAGAACAGTCCCATTGTTGGCTGCCCTCTGACTGTTGAAATATCAAGGGTAGGTACCCTGCAGGGCTCTTGGAGAGAAACTAAAACTGGCCCCGCCCCACAGAATGCTCACAACCAATTAGGGGAGGCAACACTTAAAACCTCAAAAAATTAAGTAACTTATGTAATCCTGAGAGAAACAATACAAGATTTGTAGAAGGGATTATATAATTCATTGATCCTGGTGGGTGTGTTAGGAGACATCCCTGGCTACCTGGGTTTGAATTCTGTATCTGCCATTGTATACCCTCTCTTCATCTTGCTAACCTTCCTCATCTGTAAAACATGGCTATAATAAAACCTTCCTCAATAAGGTTGACATGAGGATTAAGTGAGTTGATATGGGTAAAGTGATTAGAACAGTGCCCAACATTGGGAAGCACTGAAGACATTTATATTTTTTCTTTTTTAAAAAATGAGTCTGTACATACTGGCTCAAGCCTGTAATCTCAGCACTCTGCAAGGCTGAGGTGGGAGGATAGTTTGAGCCCAGGAGTTCAAGTCCAGCCTGAGCAACATGGTGAGACTCCGTCTTAAAAAAAAAAAAAAAAAAAAAAAAAAAAAAAAAAAAAGAAGAAGTAAACATTTTGTTAAATAAAAATTTAAAAATAAGATGGTTTGCCAGACACGATGGCTCATGCCTGTAATCCCAGCACTTTGGGAGGCTGAGATGGGCCGATCACTCCCATCAGGAGTTCAGGACCAGCCTGGCCAACATGGTGAAATTTCATCTCTATTAAAAATACAAAAATTAGCTGGACGTGGTGGCGCATGCCTGTAATCCCAGTTATTTGGGAGGCTGAGGCAGGAGAATCACTTGAACTTGGGAGGCAGAGGTTGCAGTGAGCCAAGATCATGTCATTGCACTCCAGTCTGGGCAACAGAGTGAGACTCTGTCTCAAAAAAAAAAAAAAAAAAAAGGAAAGGAAAGAAAAGATGGGTTAGATTTGCACCTTCTATAGGGTTTATGGGTATAGGCTATAGAAATCCTAGATAGGAGTGGTTTATCTAATAGCTTTTAGTTCCTCCTCTCTCTGTTGCCACTGGTCTACAAACACTGTACCTTTCAGTTATGAGACTGCAATCCTGTCTAAATTCAAATAAGCAAGAGGATCCACTCTTTGGACTAAAACTTGAATAGATTTTATGCTTAATATGGTTGCTCTGGAACACAGGGAAGAACTTGAAGCCAGTCAGCATGCTTCCTGGAATCTGTATATTGAAAAATTTACGTTCCGACTTACAGTAAAAAAGAGACCTGCATATATTGGGTCCCCAGGCCAAAGGAAGATTAGCTACCACTCCCTGATTCTGTGTGTGTGTGTGTGTGTGTTGGGAGATGGAGTCTCACTCTGTCGCCCAGGCTGGAGTGCAGTGGTGCGATCTCAGCTCACTGCAGCCTCCACCTCCTGGGCTCAAGCAATTCTCCTGTCTCAGCCTCCCAAAGTGATTGGATTACAGGTGTGAGCCACTGCACCCAGCCCCCTGATTCATTTAAGATAAAACCTTGGGTGGATTCATTGAAGGGTCTAAGAGGGAATTCTCAGCAACAATTTCACAACAACAGAGGCATTGCTGATCTCCTCCCAACTGAGCCACCCATGAAGTCTTTTCTTTCCCTCCTTAGATGCTATGTTGAGTCTTCTCTGTAAGCTCCCAACAATGCCTTTTGGCTGAACTATATTTGACATTTTTAATAGAGGGCGGGAAGTTCTAGCCATATGTGACAGCTTTTCTGAAAGCTTCCCACTCCTTCCTCACTCTCTTTTTGAAACAGCGCTATTAAGATATAATTCACATACATACAATTCACTCATTTAAAGTGTACAATTCAGGCTGGGCATGGTGGTTCATGCCTGTAATCCCAGCACTTTGGGAGTCCAAGGTGGGTGGATCACCTGAGGCCAGGAGTTCAAGATCAGCCTGGTCAATATGATGAAATCCCTTCTCTACTAAAAATACCAAAAAAAAATAATAATAAAATTAGCCAGACATGGTGGTGGGCACCTGTAATCCCAGCTACTCAAGAAGCTGAGACAGGAGAATCACTTGAGCCCAGGAGGCAGAGATTGCAGTGAGCCAAGATCACATCACTGCACTCAAACCTGGGAGACAGGGCGAGACTGTCTGAAAAAAAAAAAAAAGTGTACAATTCAATGGCTTTTAGCATATTCATAAAGTTATGCAACCATCACCACTATCTAATCCCAGAACATTTTTATTACACCAAAAAGAAACCCTGTACCCTTCAGCTATCACCCTCACAATGAAAAGCTCCCCATTTCACAGCCCTAGGCAACCACTAATTTACTTTCCATCTCTATGGATTGGCCTTTTCTGGACATTTCATATAAATGAAATCATACAAAATGTGGTCTTTTGTGTCTGGCTTCTTTTGCTTAGTATAATGTTTTTAAGGTTCATCCATGTAGTAACATGGATCAATACATCATTCTCGGTTTCTGTTGTTGTTGTTGTTGTTGTTGTCGTTTCAGATGGAGTCTCCCTCTGTCTCCCAGGCTGGAGTGCAGTAGCACGATCGTGGCTCACCGCAACCACTGCCTCCTGGGTTCAAGCCTCCTGAGTTCAAGTGATTCTCCTGCCTCAGCCTCCTGAGTAACTGGAACTACAGGTGTGCGCCACCACAACTGGCTAATTTTTTGCATTTTTAGTACAGACGGGGTTTTGCCATGTTGACCAGGCTGGTCTTGAACTCCTAGCTTCACATGATCTGTCCACTTCTGCCTCCCAAAGTGCTGGGATTACAGGTGTGAGCCACCATGCCTGGCCTATCATTCCCTTTTATTGCCAAATAATTCCATTCTATGGATAGACCACATTTTGTTTATGCATTTTCTATTCCTGGACATTTGAGTTGGTTCCACTTTTTTGCTACTATGAATAATGCTGCTATGAACATTTGTATACACACTTTCGCCCCCTTATGAATAAGGATTCCATTGCCTAGGTTGAGTGAGCAGGATATATACATCAGCAGGACTGCAGAAAGGATTCATTCTTACAGTGTCTCTTCCTTTCGATTTTTGTTAATTTTTGGCTTGTTGGGTACCTATGGTTGTAGATTACAGGACCCAAGATGTGGAGCCTTTAGTAGTTTTTGGTTATAATGTAACGGACCTGTTACTGAAACCTACTCATCCCTTGCTACCAAAGCACTAGAATCCCCAATCTGTTTCTCACCAGAAGCCCTCTGATAACAAGATGCTGCTTGCATGGATGGGCTTCAAATGTTCACCATCTTCCAATGGAGGAGAGGGTGAGGCGAGGTGAGGAGGAGGTGAGAAAAACTTGAAGCTGCCCCTTCTTATCTCCTTATTTAACTGTGTAGATAATAAGGAGTATTCACAGTTTCGAACCTTTGGTCCGATTATTCAGAGGGGGGAAATTACTCCTGATAAAGTGTATTTTTCAAGCCTCAGTTTAGTTATAA